CACACCTGAGGCTTCAGGGTGTGACACTGACACTGACTCCGGTGTGTTTTCATTGTTTCAGGAGCAAATTCATCACATTCATCAAGAAACTCAGAGTAAGTATAAAACAAACTGAAACAGAGGAAATATTACAGTTTAATTCAACGATGTCAAGGTTAAAGTTTCATCTGGTTTCTCACAGGAGCCGCTGGTGCTGACGACCCTCATCTCACTGTTTGTGAGGCTCCACAGCATCGTGAGGGTATGAGTCAAAATTCAGCTATGAAAATATATGAAAACCAGAATTCCCGCCTCCGCCACTCAGACTAGTTCCAGGTCACATCCTGTTCATCCAGCGTCAGAATATATGAACCATTAGTGCGACAGTTTGTCATAAATTCTGTGTGAAGACTTGAGTAATGGCTAAAAAGCGTTTTGTGAGGTCACTGTGACCTTGACCTTTGACCTTTGACCATGAGAGTCCAAGTGTATGTTTGTTCTAAATCTGAAGAAGATCCATCAAGGAATTTCTGAAATATCGTGTTCACGGGAATGAGACGGACGGACAACCTAAAAAACAAAATGGCTGCCGCTCTGAGTGTCGCCGGCGAGGAGGAATAAAAACAAGTTGATGTGTTTTACTGACAGTAAATCTAAAGAGATGATGATCAAACGTTTCTTCTTCTTCAGGACGATATTGTAAATGAAGTGACGGCTGAACATCTCTCCATCTGGCCATCCACACTCCCCAAGTAAGAACATGTTTTACTGAAACTGTGGGTTTTCTACTGATGATGGTGATGATGATGATGATGGTGATGGTGATGGTGATGAGGATGATGGTGATGGTGGTGATGATGATGGTGATGGTGATGGTGATGGTGATGATGATGATGATGATGATGGTGATGATGATGATGATGGTGATGATGATGGTGATGATGATGATGGTGATGGTGATGAGGATGATGATGATGGTGATGATGATGGTGATGGTGATGATGATGATGGTGATGGTGATGAGGATGATGAAGATGGTGATGATGATGATGGTGATGGTGATGATGATGATGATGGTGATGATGATGATGATGATGGTGGTAATGATGATGGTGATGATGAAGATGATGGTGATGATGATGGTGATGATGGTGATGAAGATGGTGATGGTGATGATGATGATGATGGTGATGATGATGGTGATGATGGTGATGATGGTGATGGTGATGAGGATGATGATGATGGTGATGATGATGGTGATGGTGATGATGAGGATGATGGTGGTGATGGTGATGAGGATGATGAAGATGGTGATGATGATGATGGTGATGGTGATGAATGGTGATTGAAGAAGGTGATGAATGATGATGAGGATGATGAAGATGGTGATGATGATGATGGTGATGGTGATGATGATGATGATGGTGATGATGATGATGATGATGGTGGTAATGATGATGATGATGATGGTGATGGTGATGATGGTGATGATGATGATGATGGTGATGATGATGATGGTGGTAATGATGATGATGAGGATGAAGATGGTGATGATGATGATGCTGTGTGTTGAGCAGCATCCAGGCGGTGGATGTGGAGGCTGTGGCTGTGACGGTCAAAGAGCTGGTGTCCTACGCTCTCACCCTCAACCCCAACAACCAGTCGTGGCTCATCACACAGGCCGACATCTACTTTGGTAAGAAACTGCAGCTCAGTCAGAGGAGACGCTCCGGAGGACGGATGAAGACTGACACGTACACTTTGTATTAAAACACTGTTTGATGAGGGTCAGTCAAAGACATGAGACAAATATTTTATCTTTATTTTCTTGTTACACTTTTAGTGGTTGAATTGCTCGGTAATCTTTCACATTAAAATGAAAACTGAAGAAAGGAGGGCTTTTAATGTGAAGCAGCAGCATTAAATCCTGGTAAACTTCAGCAGGAAGTGAACATGATCATTAAACTGTGAAATCAGGCCGATGACAGACTCATGAGGGTGAAACTCCACGAACCACAGAGACTCAGTGAGAAGCTGCAGAAACAAACACTGAACATCTGGCTGATAAACAACAGTTCAGGAGACATTTCAACACTCCACACTCATCCAGATGTTTCCTCCTCCTCTTCTTCTTCTCTCTATAGTGACCAATCAGTACTCTGCTGCCCTGAACCTCTACCTGCAGGCTGGAGCCGTGAGCTCCGACTTCTTCACCAAACCTGTGCCGCCCGACGTCTACACCGACCAGGTGACCTACACACACACACACACACACACACACTCACAGTCTCACTGATGAAACCAAGCTTTTTAAAATAAAGTTTTCTAGCTGCTGCTAACAGCAAGGAATTCAAATTAAAAAAGTTTTCTCCCACTGATGAGTTTTTCCTTTTAATCAAATCCAGAGAAACTTAAATTAGTTTCTGTTCTTCTTTGAATAAATTACAATGATGTAAAAAGATCAACAGCCTCCTTCTGGATCCACGATGGTTTAGTCTTTATTTACTTCAGCTCCAGAACGTCACAGACTTTTATCAGAGGCAGGACTTTATGTCTCACTCCCTCTGTTTGACATGTAGAGTCGTATAATAGTCGTTAGTACAAAGCCTCGTTAGCGCTGCCTCCTCTCTCTCCCTCCCTCTCTCCTGCTCTCTGTGTCTCATGTCTAGTTATTCCTCTGCCTCCTCCTCCGTAATAATTAGAATAAATATAAATATATGTGAACTGTCCTTTGAAATGAATCAGTTCTCTGACGACACGTTGTCTGTTCTGCAGGTTCTGAAGAGGATGATCAAGTGCTGCTCCATGATGAACTGTCACACACAGGTAGGAGGTGAAACGCTCTCAGCACCTGCTCGTTTTAATGTCCCGATAGAAACATGGTGTCAAGACTTTTCCAGCCTCAGAGTCACATATAGAAAGTAGTTGATTCGTCCCCGCCGAGTGTAACCCAGTGGTGCAGGGAGATCACCTTCCCCCATGAAAGATGCCTGGAGCAGACCGGAGACAGTGTTTTGTTTAACCTCATTTGATGTAAATTTTCATGTAAATGTTTTTTCTCTTAAATTAATTATTTTTGCTTTGTCAGCATTATTCAGTCTGAAGTATTGTCAATATTTCTTATTTTATTTTATTTTGTTATTTTTTTTTATTAATTAATTTATTTTAGTTTTATTTAATTTTATTTACTTACTTTAATTATTTTATTTTTAATTAATTAATTAATTAATTTTTTTGTTGTGTGTGCTGTTCGGCTGTCTGGGTGGGGGTGTTGTATGTCGTTCTGTTTGTTTAAACTCAGTAAAAAAAGAAAGTTGACTGAGTGAAACTGGTTTTCTCTCGTCACCTGTCGCCCTCAGGTCGCCGTGCTCTGCCAGTTCCTGAGAGAGGTCGACTACATGACGGCGTTCAAAGCTCTTCAGGAACAGAACAGGTGAGTCGTGGCACGATACGCGTCACATCGTTAACCACCAACAGCTGGTCTGAAACATCTGTAATGTTTCCTTCCGTCACCACAGTCACGACGCCATGGACTCGTTCTACGACTACATCTGGGACGTCACCATCCTGGAGTACCTCACACGTATCCTTCCTGTCAGTCGTCTCCACACTGAGGAGGTGTTAACCTTCTACATTAATACACTTTATATTAACTCCAGTTCGCTCTGATTCTTCTTCTTCTCCTTAATGCGAGTTCAGATATTCACCACAAACGGGGCGAGACTGAGAAGAGACAAATAGCTGTAAGTCGTTCAAACCCACATTTCATAGTTTGTCGTGTTTCTGCTGCGTGAAAAAAATAAACTGATTTGTTTTTTTTTTTTCAAAATAAAAGTAAAAATCTGTCATGTTTATTTTTACAGTAGCTTGTTGCCGACCTTTGATTAACAACCAATAATATCAGCTGTTGGTGAGCTCAGAAACGCAGCAATGCAACACTCCTTTCAGAATAAAACCTCACAATAGCTTGATATAAAGAATTGCTGCAAAAAAACCAAGACTTTCTTGCGCTTTTATTTTTTAGGCAAAATTGCTAAAGAGGAAGTGATTCTGCAGCTAACTTGCTGCTCAGATGGCGATCTTTTTTTTTTTTAATTTATTTTTAAAAATCTTGTCTAATCCAGCAGGCCAGATGTTCTTGCTGGCGGGCCAGTTGCCGACCACTGGTGTAGAGACAGGTTTGTGTATTGTTTGCATTAACTGTTTCCTGCCTCTTCACTTCCTCCTCAGATAAAAGCGATCGGACAGACGGAGCTGAACACCAGTAACCCGGAGGAGGTGCTGCAGCTGGCTGCACAGAAGAGGAAGAAGAGATTCCTGCAGGCCATGGCCAAACTGTATTTCTAATAGACACGTGAACCACCGTCAGACTGAGGGGGGGGGTGGGATGTATATTTTTTATTTTGTGGTAGAAAATAAACTTCTATATAAATACAGTTCATTTGTACACTCGTTTGAAAATAATTGCAAAATCAGTTACTGACCGTGTAATGCCCTGAGTTTTACAAACTGACTGAGAAACAGACGAACTGAAGACGATGCTCTTTATTCAGATGATGCTTCATCAGGGTTTGAGATAAAGAGCACCCTCGTTCTGAGCATCAGTGTTTCCATCTTACATTTAGCTTAGATTTAACTCACCGGCTCCAACAGCATCCTGCTCAATATTTAGACCTGAAGTTGTTTTAAAAGATTTTATCTGAACATATTTAATATGCTTCAGAATGAAACAATTGCACAGTCAGTGTTAAAATGTCATTTTCTAAAAATAACATCACTTAGAGCAAATAACAATTTTTAAAAAAACATTTCTTTTCTGAATCAAAGCTCAGATTCAGTTTCTAAAATCTTAAGACATAAAAAGCTTTGGCCAAGATTCTATCAAGTAGACACATGATCCTGGGTGAAGGTTCAGCGACAGATTCCAGCGTCAAATTAACTCCCATCAAAACTGTTTTCATGTCCGTCTCAGTCTTTGTTAGTGGGTCATAATCTTGTTGTCCTCCGTGTCCTCCGTGTCCTCCGTGTCCTCTGTTCCCTCTGTTCACAGGTCGATGTCCCACATCTTCTCCATGCTGCTGGGAGGAGTGAGGAACGGACTGTTCACCTCCTGTCCACTGGCAACGTCCTAAAATACAAAAGATTCACAGTCTAATCAGTGACATCAGTGACTGTGTGACGACATTTCAGCTTCTATGATGAAATACTGTTTTATCCAAATATTAATTACAGAAGCTAATTAATGAATTAATACTTGTGATTAAATCTGATGAAACAGATTCAGTTGGATGTGAATGAACAAAATCATGTTTCTTCACAAATGTCTCAAAATAATAATAATAATAATAATAATAATAATGATAAATCACATCTTATCATTATCCCTGTTTGCAAATTTCTACATTATAAATATTAGACTGTTGTTGATTAGACATTAATTATTTCACATTTCACACAAAGAAAATTCACTTAAAACTATTTATACAAGTTCTTGTTGAAAAACATGATGAATAAACTAAGGATTTTTACAATATGGCAGATGTAGGGTCAGTCTATATCTGATTGGCTGTTCGTTCATGTGATCGATCATGTGATCACTTGAGAGTTGCTCACTCAGCTGAGAACTGTTTTCGTTTAGAGATTTCTCATGAGATCAATAAAAACAGTTTAAATGTGATGATGTATTTAGAAGAAGAAGAAGAAGAAGTTTCTCTAAAACACTCCCGGAGGTTTCAGGTTCCATTAGAAGCAGTAGATTTTTCTACAGGAAGGTGAAACTTAAAGAGGCTGTTTGTGAGATTTTGTTTCTTCCCAGGAGCAGGTGGAGGTGACGCTCGCCTGACAGGAGCTCCAGTCATCGTTTCCAAGACAACAGGTTATAATACGTCCTCTGAGCAGCTACGTCTTCAGGACGCTTCTTCTAGACTGGTCAGTAAACAGCTGCTAATGCTAACGTTAGCAAAATGTACAAACAGCTCCTTGTGTGATTTCGTCAACATATATATTGATTACTGTCAGCATTAATTAACTACAGCTCCCATGAGGCTTTGGGATCGACTCCACATGCCGTTGCCCGAGATACTTTAACGTTTGTCCTGAACTATCAGAAGAAGAAGAGATTCCTCACCAGCATGCTCATGTAGTCTGAGTGTGTCTGGACGTCGTGTCCGTCTTCTTTCGTTCTGGAGAAGTCTCTGAGTGTCGCTCGACCGAACCGACCCAACGACACAGCGAAGGGAGACATCCAGGTGAGACACGGCTGGAGGACGTCGTCAGACAGACCTGAGCACAGACAAAGACTGACGAACTTAGAAGACCTACACCTTGAACTTTTTCAGTTGTGTCTAGTTTTCATCCGGTCTCGAACAAATTCAGTGTTCGATCTTTTATCCTTTATCTCAAATCTCACCTGAAACCTTTTCAACTTTTTCCTGTTGGAGGAAGTGACACAGGACTGAAGCGGCCAGCACTCGATACTGGAAGTCCAGAGAGTTTATGTTGAGGATACAAAGATCTAGAAGCTGACGGGGACAGAGGAGAAGACGTGTTTGACATGAGTGATTAAAGCAGTGACACACAAACAGTCGTTTAGCTCCTGCAGCTGGAAACATCAACATGTGACTCAAGTACAAACACTTGTCTGAGGGTGGATGCAGGAGGACAGGAGAGAACTCTGACCCTCTTCATGTCTTACAGCAGAATGAAACTCGACACAACAGAGTCTTTGTGAAGCTTCACGTCACATCCGTCTAAACTGAGTCACAAGCTGAATCCCGTCCGAACACCTACTCGTGTCATTTGGACGTAGGCGTCGTGAGGAAACTGCGGCTCCAGCAGGTCAGAGTTGACGTTCATCGACGCCACCTGGAGGTAAAGCTTCAGCCACGACACGGCTGTTTCAGGACAAAGGTTCCAACGTAACGCCTGGAAAACAGCATTATGAACAAACTGAAGCTCTCTTATTGATTATTAATAAAGAACGAGGAATCTAAAATGTCGGCAATACTTCTGACAGTATTACCTTCAAAATGATTAACTCCATTTGAAGGATCTCGTCCTCGTAGTACGTCCCTGCAGTCACATAGGCCATCTGTGAGAGCTTTGGAGGACGGGCTTCCTGCAGGGACATAAAACACCACACTGATATTGAAAGTGAAATAAAAACAGAACAGTTTTCATTCCCACCAATGAAACGACTTGAAAAGATCCGGAAAGATTCAGATTTTATGAAATGCTATTGAACCACATCCAGAGAAAAACAAAAAACAAAACATGAAACCATGGTGATAACGATCATGTTGTGAAGCGTTGGCTCTAGTTGCTTGTGAATAACTGAATGCAGTTGTTTCCTCTTCGCAGCTTTATCTACACACACAGTTCCACTGAGCCGTTCACATTTGTTGGATGAGGGACGTTTGTCGACGTGTTGTGAACCTGATGTCATCTCTTCTCACTGTACTGCACCGTTTTTATTTAATTTAGTCTTAAGATGTTCACGCCCTGACCCCTCCCTGTTCGTCCTCACCTCCATCTTTGCAGCTATAAACAGACAGGTGATCCCTATGAGCTGCAGGACGCCCTTCTCAACGTCGCTCTGTGTCAACATGAAGCGGTCGAAGTAATCCTGAGCCAGGTAGAACGTCTGCCGGTGAAGAGTGTACGCGTCACTCACCTAAAACAAACCAACAGTGAAAACATTATTGGTGCACTCTGTCATGTGACAATGTGCTGCCTGTAATGAATGACAAACATTATGTGTAAAGAGGTTTCGTGAACTTGCCTCAATCAACCAGTCGAGGAGGATGGATCTCATTCTGGGTTTTATGGTCAGGTGTTTCTGCATGAAGCTCTTACTGTGTCTGTAATTCTGCTCCTTGCCGACCATCTTCAGCCACACATCTTCAGAAGAGCCCCATCTGTAACATGGGAAAAAAAACATTTATCAAACTGCCTACAACAGGAAGTAATCAGCCAACCGCAGCTAAATAATGTGTGATAGTTACCCGAGGTGAGGCAGCGGGGACGGCCGGACCAGAGCGTCTCTGCCAGGGAGAACTTGGTAGACCGGCTCGTCACAGTCGATCCTGACTCTCTTCTCAGGACTCTCGATGACAATACACGGCTTGGTGACACCTTCAAGTACCAGCTGGTTCTGAAAAGAAAATACATGGGTATTTACATACTGCAGGTAAAAGATGTGCATTTTTTGTTTTGTTGTTTTACTCTCAGCTGTGATGATGCAGGTCTGAGTTGAGGTTTCGGGGTTTTAGAAGACTTCTGTTTTTTTTTTGTTTGTTCTGGGAACTTCCTCATTTTACTTCAAAAAAGTTCACAGGTTTATTCATTTATCTATTTTGTGCCCTTGACCTGACGGGGCCACACCTGTGCAAAAACAACACAAAGAAATTGTAAAATGGAAGAAAGAGGAATGAAATACCTTCTCACACTGCAGCTTTGACAGGGGCTGAACCTTTTTCCTGTTGCTTTGCTGCAAAGAAAAGTTGTTTTCAGTTTATGTCAGACCATCTAGAAAATGCTTGTCAATTAAAGCCATATATTAGATCCTTTTAATAATAGTTTGTATGGGCTCTTACCTTAGAAACTTTCTGCCCTGGAGCATTTTCAGATCTCTTCTGCAGGCGACCGCTGCAGAGACATGAAACTGAATTCAACATGGAGCTGGAGACTTGACAACAGCCCAACAACCAGTGGAGTTAAAACAATAATTCATAAAGCAACAAGAGAGGTCATTACCTTTGTCTAGTCATGGCTGTGGCTTCTTCTGTCTGTAAAACACAAGCAAAATCAGGAAGGAAAACCAGGAAGTTACAGTAACCCTCAGATGTAAATGACAGCCGTTAACCAGCAGCTGCAGCACAAAACACACGCTGATGAAAACCACAAATAAACCTGCTGCATCCTACCAGGGATATTTATCATCATGTATCCACTACATACTTCATCATATCGCGCCAATATGATTAATAAGCGCGTAAACCGACCGCGCTCTGCTGCCTCCATCCACCAAAACACAATCCTGCTGCTAAAACTTCAACCTGAGACTCTTTACATCACCTGTATTTTTATTTCTGGCATATTTTACATTTGCATGAGACAAAACGAAACAGAAGAGCACAAAGAGGCAGAGAGAGTCCAGAAGTGCTGCCGTCCTGCAGCAACAACACAAAGACCCAGGGAGGACATTTTGTCCTAAGTACAACTGATGAAGTCCCTTCAGTTTAACACTAACCCACGGCCTCATCATTACCAGCAATTAAACAGTTAATTAACAGTTATCTATTTTATCATTTGTGCGCCACGACCAGTAATTTAATTATTATTCGTTATATAATTATTATTAATCATCATCACTTTACCAAACCAGGAGCTGCAGAGGACACTTCACCAAGTTTAACCCGAGCAGATGTTAAACTGTGATTTCCTGCTTCCGGTACAGAAATATGACTTTTTAAACATCAGTCCGCCGTCACTATATCACAACTTTAAGCTAGTTAACGTTAGCTAACTTAACACAACCAGCCGGAGTACGAACAAACAGACTTCACCGACTCACTGTCAAAATAAAACGCAGTTAGCGTCTGTGTGAGAACACACAGCTGCTCACACTTCACTGACAAACGGCTCAGAAGCGTTAGAGATAAACCACTGAGCTAAAGAGACTGAATAACTCTCAACATTAGCTTCTTACCTTCGTCGGCTCAGAGTCCAAATCAAATTTGCCTCCAGTCGCTGCTGGCGCCAACAAATGCGTTCGTGACACATTGCGCATGTGTATGAATACTGCCAACCCCGAACTATTTTCTTCAAAAATACATTTAAGTTCAAGATAATTGGCTGTGACAGTGTTTCCATAATCGTTTTCATTTCAAATACATCCCGTTTGTTTTAGTTTTAACCGCCTTATTAACGATATGAACTCGCTAAACCGACAACTAAACTGAGAAACTGTCGTTTTATGATAGTGATTCAGTTTGTTTAAATCATCTGTTTAGTGTAAGTATTAATAAATCTTTGTTGTTGTTAGAAAATGTGTGTAAACCGCATAAATTTTACATGAACTTCAACTTTTCTTTGTTTTTTGGCCTTTATTTTGTCGGATTTCCGGGCGGCCGACGGTGGGCGGAGCTGTAGAACAGGACAGCCAATAGAAGAGAGAGTTGAGTTGAGCGCGTGCTCATGCAGCCGGATGTAAACAAAGCAGGGAACTGTCAATGCGTAAGTCCCCGAATTTATTAATATGTTCATGTGGAAAATTGTTTTAATCAATGTTAATATGTTTGTGTGATAAACTGTTTCACATGTATAGATATTTATTTATAAATATAATAATAAATACAAAAAAAAAAACGTATTAAAAGTCCCACTAAAACACCCACCACCCCTCTCTTTATACTTACTGAATTACTATTTGGAGTTTCCATATTTCATTTATTCAACTGTCGACTCATGTTCTTAAAAACATTTCCCAAAGTGAAAGTCTAAGTGCCGTTTACATTAAACATGATCAACATTATAGATGATAAATCGTTTCCTTCTCAATTTCTCATCTGCCGTTTATCTGCGCGTGGTTTTATAAATGCAGAATATTCACGGTCCGTTTCAGTGACAGATAAAACAAACTTTCTCTCAGCATCATCAGTTTTCCTGAAACCATCCTGGTTAAAAGATGCTCCCTGTAGACAACAGGTAATGTCGCCCTCACCTGGAGAAAGGTAGAATCAGGTCACCAGCATGGACTGTATATAAATATCACCAGGCTGATGAACTTAGAGTTTATATCTTCTGTCTTAGATTTAATATGATTACCAGACTGTTAACAGAACATCATGTACTATTTTAATAATATGATTTCCTTACATGAAAAACAAAAGAACCTTTTTGCATCATTAGATTCGAAACAAGCTAAACTGCTAGTACAATATGTTTCTGATGTAATAAAATAAAGGACTGAGTTAACGATAGCATTTAATAGTGAAAGTTTGTGTATCATGAATGGTGTTTGGGTGCTGATATCTGTTTCATTCACTTCCTGTCTTAAACGCTGGTAAATGGGAAGATCTATCAACTGAATGTAGAGGGAACTAGAGAGGAAGCTGCACTGTGTGACAGATTGAGTCTGACGTTCAACTCTGAGCACAAACAACAGAAGCTGTTTAACTTTCTGTCAACAACATGAAGCTGGTGAAATACTTTTTAATCATCCATCTGAGCTGTGTCTGTCAAGGTAATGTTCACAGTTTTATACATTTATAAATATTTTATTTAGAAGTTTTTCACAAACAGCCGCGAACTTTGGCTTCATTAATACGGCCTGTAACTGAGACAATTAGACACTGATGTGATTACATGAAGTTATTTATATTTAATTCTATTTATCAAAGTTTATACCTCACTTTTTTATTTTATTATAAGAAAAGTAGGTAACCCCACAAATTTTACATGGATAAAGTAACACACTGTTACTGAAGAGCAAATTATCTTAATCTGATTAGTTTCTGTAGATTTTAAGTTTACAAATGCATCATTTTCATTTGGAAAACATTTTTCTTGAAGCAAATGTGGAGTTAAAAAGTAATTTAATTGTTGAAAACATGGAGAAATATCATCCAAGTTTGTAGACATTTGACCTTTTTAGCGTAACGGATTTATAGTTTTGAACTTTGAATATCTCATTTTGAATCTTGAACTTTTTATGGTTTATATATCTTTTTTTATTCTAGTCTTTTAGCACAACTGTAGGAGTGTGCCACATTCAATACTTTGATAAATAAGCCTTTGAATCCATTTGAATCATTTTAATGCTTTTTGTTGTGGCTGCTTTAGATTCAGTCTCAGCAAGTGGAAAATAAAGTTGGTGTGAAAGGTAGACAAGAAAAACATGTATCTCTGTGTAAAGTGTAAAATGGGAATGTGCAGGTGTGTGTGATTTCAGCCACACACTCACATCTTCGGTCAAGTAGTTTTCTTTAGAAGTCCTGTGGTGAAGGTGTTTGATGTGGTCTGTTGTGTTTAGGCCTGTTCACGCCGAGTAGCCCTCTGTACAGAAATATATATGACGTATAGGGCCATATGTAAAGAGTGATGTCACCATAAGGATATGTATTATTATCACATTTTTACTTCCTCTGGAGATATGAAGATATAAGTTTATAACATATATGAAATACTCACAGTAAAATGCAACTTTATTAAAACAACATACTTATTAACGTTCTATATGTTTAAATATGATTTTCTTAATCATTTCTTATTAAATTTAAACATACATGTCTATCTTTTACATTTCATATATAATATCAACATAAAGTGAAAGGCTTTGGGATGGATATATATTTATGTAACATACTATATGTCTACAGTATAAACAGACATACATGTCTGTGTTAGCTAGACATACAGTATATGTCAATATATGAAATTGTTCCAATTTCTAACAGGTTTCATATGTTATTTTTACATATATAGGCTATATATACATGTATGTGCATAAATTATTTAACTTCATACGTACTTAGTCTATATTTCATATGTGGAAATTCATGCTAACGCTCAGTCTTTTCTCTCTTTATTTCAGCTCTTCAGAACTCATCCACTCCAACAGACACAACTGAAGCCCCAGTGGAAACAGAGGGAAACAGCACAGAAGGAATGAAACAAGAGGAATCCAACAGTAAGTCAGACATTTGTCTTATTTGAAATAATCTCATATAGACATGTACAAACACACAGTTACAGCAGAACTTCATGGAACACCTTTTGACCAGGATCAGGTTAACACAGTGCGGAGGCTGATGAATCTACTGCTCTTATTGTGACAGGATGTGGGCTGACCTGTTTGTGAAACATATCTTGGTGAATTTTGCAGGTGCAAATCAAACTGTGAGATTGCAAAGCGACTCTCCCACGCAGACTCTGTTTGTCTCTGCTCTGGTGTAGCTTCGGCTTTAACTGCGTCCTCCACATCACACTGTGACCCAGAATGATCTCGGCCTAAAACTTTCTACAGTCAGAATCGTAGAAATATAATTTACCAAAGTTAAGGTAGTTAAATAATAAAATAAACCACATTCTAACTGGAATTTACACAGAGAATCAGAGCAGAGAAATCTAAAGATCAGGATTAATATCAAGGTGTTACGGTAAAAAGGAAAAATATGATTTATTTCTATTCTTTTATTTTTTATAGCACATGTATTCACCAATGTGCCACCATAAAATATTTTTAGGAATTTTAAATCTGATGCGATATAGAATCGCGTTTTAGAAAATTTCATAAACACAAACAAACATAATCATAAATTTCTACAATGTGAATATGTAAAGAAAACGCTCAGCAGTGTGTTTGAAATAGTCACTTCAGTCCCATCAGCACATTAACAAAGTAATTACATTTAAAAATTTCTAAACAGTAATTAAGTTCTAAATGTAAATTATAAACTACTTGTGGAAGATGTAAATTGATTATTGTCAGTAAAAGGAAATGAAAGGAGCTCGTGCTGTTTCCTGTTTAAATGTTAAATTTATTGAAGTCAGTAACATACTTCAAAGGAAATTCAGCTGCTTTAATTAAAGATAAATCAGATTTTGGTGCCGATTCAGCTCTTAATTGTCTTTGATTATTTATTTATCATTATCTTTGTTTTTCCTCTTTATCGTTCTTTAGTTTGAACTTTACAGTCACAGTCATATTTCACACATGGGAAAGTTGTGGGCTCCTTGTGTGTCACCCACTGTGCTGTGATCTGATGTGTCAACAGAGTCTGACGTTCGGTCAAGTGGTTTCTCTTCAAATGAGTGATACGTGATCACCTCATGTGGTTACATGTGTTTGATGAGGCAGTGCTGGGAGACATGCTGTGATAAAGTTTCATCAGGATCAGTCCCACATAAACCACGGTTCTCACCAGAGCACCAAATGTGTATGAGTCCACCTTTTAAAATAGTCCCCTTTAAAAAGTGTGCCGGTTCCTCCTGTTTGAGTAAAGTTTGCTTAAAGCTGCAGTATCTGCATCAGCTGTGTAAACTCAATAAACAAGCGCAACATTTATTTATGCCTTTACAGAAAAACCTCATGAATGTCACATGTGAAATCACATGTTCATGTGACTTCAGAACATTTTCATGGTTTAATGTGTGACGCACATGTAAAGGTGAAACCTAAATAAATTCCCATGTGAAACCCGTGTTCGCAGTTTGTAGTTGTTTGTTTGTCAGTTCTCACGTTACAGCACTTGTTGAAAATGTGGTGAAACTTCATCACGTGTCCACATTTGGGAAAACGTGGTTTTTCTGAAGAGCACCAGTCAGACCAGAATTAGAGAACCAGGATCTAAACCCTCTTTGTGTCTGTTGTGTCTGTTGTGTCTGCGTCTGTCTGTCCTCAGGTGACCCTTACGTTCTCCACCTTGCTGGTAGATGTGAGTGGACTCTCCGGCTGCCTGGAAACAGGAGCAGCGACGTGGTGTGGCTCTCATCAGACTCCATGGCAGCGTTGGTTGAACAGGTGTGTCGGGACCTGGACTGCGGCAGCGTCTATGATGTGGATCAAAGCAGCTCACCTCCCAACACCACCTGCTTCCACGGCTGTTTGTACAAAGACGGCCATTTGCAGAACTGCTCGCAGAGTGTGGGAAGTGAATGCACCGTGATTACTTCAGTGGTCTGTGGTATGGTCGGCTCTCATATGTGTCGTAGCTGCTAGCTGAAATTTGGACTTTTGCACAATGAGACTCAAGTGAATTTTGATTTGCACAGTTTGCAAACAGAGACACAACAACACAACATCACATCACATCAGCCAATCAGATTGACCTGGATGTCAAGTTCAATACAAATCCATCTTTTCCACACAGACTCGCTCTGAAGACTCAAATAGACTTAATTCGTTTTCTTTGATATAAATTTAAGGAAGATGTAAAATTCAATTTAAAATGTAAAATATAAATATAAAAATACTGAAGACTCCTCTACAAGACAGGAACTCAAACCCAGGTTAATTTACCACAAAGAAACTGACAAACAGTCAGTTCCAGTTCATCGCTATGCCAACCCACATGATGATGAAATACTGAACCACAGGAGCAGTCAGGAGATCCAAATACAACATTTTATTTCCCTTTATTTTTCATTTACTTGTGAATCAAATGATCTTTTGTAAGTTTTATAAAAAGTGTTCTTATAAATTAATGATCTTTGTTCATCCCTGCTTTAAATATTGTGTTAAAGCTCTTTCGATGGGGCTCATAATAGCTGGATGTAATGACTCATTATTGAATGTTTTTAATGCCTCTTTTTTACTGTCCAGTTAAATATCACTTCATAGGTTGATAACCATACGTATGAAAGTCTCTGCTCTTCATAAACAGTAAGTTGACAGCATGATGTTGTCTTCAGGACATCAGCCTGTGCGGCTGGCAGGAGGTCCAGACCGCTGTGCTGGACGGGTGGAGTTGTGGAGGGATGGCAGATGGGGCACAGTGTGCGACGACCAGTGGGACCTGAGGGATGCTAACCTGGTGTGCGCCCAGCTCAGCTGCGGCTACGCCCTCAACGTGACGGGACAGGACGGCCCCTTTCCCCCGGGCAGAGGACCCGTCCACCTGGACGAGCTGAACTGCACGGGCCGGGAGGAGAACCTGTGGGCGTGTCCATCTGCACAGGAGGAGCCCGACTGTGGACACAAAGAGGACGCTGGTGTCATATGCTCAGGTCACAAAAACATTATTCATACAAACAGATCCGTGGCTGTATCCCTCCGCCACTCAGACTAGTTCCAGGTTACATCCCTGTTTATCCAGACTTATTCAAAATAATAATCATTTGTGTCAAATTTTGTCTGACCTTGACCTTTGACCTTTGACCTTTGACCACCAAAATCTTATAATTTCATCCTTGAGTCCAAGGATGAAATGTGTAGCTAGTGTAGCTAGTTAGCATGCTTACATTTGCTAATTAGTACTAAACACATTTTGTTAATTATTTTAATTATTTTGTTTTTGAGTCCACTGTCATATTAGCAGCTGTGTAGGTACAGTTGAGCTGTTTTGAGTTAAATGCTAATATCTACATGCTAGCTAGCGTGTTCACAGTGTTAGCATGTCACTGTAAGCATGTTGGCTAATGTTCACCATGTTCTCACCATGTTAGTGTTGCTAGTTAGCATGCTAACATCTGCTAATTAGTACTAAACACAAAGGTGATGAGTTGTGAAGGTATTTGGTCATAAACTAAAGTATATTTAGTGTCCTCAGTGGTGACATCATAAATAAGTGATAACATTGAAAACCTCTTTGGGAATGATTGATTGACGTGACGTTAATTTATTGCAGAAAAATCTTGATCTTATTTTCCTCTAATGGTTTCAGTTCAGTTTTTACTAGGATTTACTGGAAATGACATTTTCAGTGTTTTGCCAAAACACAATTACAATGATTTAATAAAATGAAAATATCAAATAAAAAAAAGTCAATAACAATATTAATATAATATAATTAAATACAATATAATTATTAATATAATTAATAGACTGAATTATAATGAAATAAAGAAAAGGAAAAAAAGCAATAAAATGATTACATACACACATATACTAATATATAGGCATACATAAACATATACATACACATAAGTAAAAGCAGTTATTAAATAAATAATAACTAATAATGTTTCCTGTGTGTGTGCAGAGATGAGAGCGATCCGACTGACTGGAGGTCTGGACCGCTGCTCTGGTAAAGTGGAAGTCCACCGTAACGGCAGCTGGGGGACGGTGTGCGACCACTGCTGGAACGTTCACCTGGCCTCCATGGCGTGCTCCATGCTGCAGTGTGGCGCCGAGCCGCTGCAGTTCTCCCAGTTTGTTCCTCCTCTCACCCACAACAACGGGACTCTGTGGTACTACAGCTGCGGCTCAAAGGAGCAGAGTCTGTGGCAGTGCAGGGAACTCATCAACAAGGCTCATCTGTGCGCAGGCTCCAAAGCATCAGGTGTCATCTGTAACGGTGAGCGACACAGTCTAATAATGCTTCTCTACACAAAGCAACAGAACCAGGTGAAACTATTCAGACAGAGTAAAACAGGGGAAATGACACGTGTGAAAATACAAGGAAATGAATTTAATTCCATGAAATGTACAAAACAGAAATGAAAAGCAGCTGTAAACAGGTTTCATTCATGTAATGGAATTTTCTTTTGTTTTCAGAAACTGATTGTAGACGTTTATAGTAAAACTCTGAACTTAAACTGAATTAGGTGAAAACTTTTAAGATGATATTCCTGCCTTTCTATAGGCTAATAACAAAAACGGTTATGGTGTAAAATCATGTTTGTGACCTAATTAATTATGCAAAGTTTAATTTGGAGTTTTTTTAAACACATATTTACCAGAAAGTTTTAGTTTGGACTCGTGATTAAAAAGTTACATGTTTCATATTTAGACAACTTTCTGAAAAAAAACAAAAAAACATTTAGATTTAAATTACAACATTTTCATATTTGCTGTTCAGTGTTTACAGAAAGTATGAATTTAATGTTGAGAATAATTCTGCTCATAAGTGTGAAACTGTGTGTCTCCATCTAATCTCTATTAAACTAAAGAACTATGTTTGTGTCCTGCAGGTTCCCGCGGCTTCATCACAGACGCCACAGATAATACAACTGCAATAACCAGCTGGACCACAGGTAGATATTTCAGATTTGATCATATTAATGTTGGTTGTTTAGAGCAAAGTGAGACAGAGGAACATTGGTGTTGGTGTTTGAAGTGAAGCAGTCCTGTAGTGACAGTATTTCTGTCTCAGCAGCTTCAACAACCACAGTCGCTGCTGATGAGCTTTTCCTCACGGTGTCTCCGGAGCTTCTCATCACCATGAGCGTGTCTCTGCTGCTCCTCGTGTTTCTCATCACAAACTCTGTCCTCTGCTGCCACTACAGGAGGAGACACGGTCAGTTCAGCCTGAACACGCTCGTCTCAACAGCAGTGGAAAGATATAAACTGGATTTAAGCTGCTGTCGACTTTTATCAAGGAGGAGTTGAACTCTTATCACAGGGATCTTTAGTTCAGCCTTTATCCGACTATAATCTGTTGTTCTGTTGTCTCCTCATTTAATTAGTTCAAGTTGTGGAACCTTTGATAGTAATGATAGCAGTAATAATACCAGTAGTTGTGATATTTATAGAGATTTCATATCAGTCATCTTCACTTCCAGATAAATTGTGCTTTTCATGAGCAGAAGTTCTCAGAGGACGCACATGAAACACAGGTCGCACATCTCATTCAGTTCAATTTATTATTATTATTATATTTGTTTTTATTTTTATTTTTTTAAATGATTAAGGTTTAAGCATATTATATGTAACTGCATATATTTTATATTTCACTTTATATATATATATATATAAAATCAGCATTTCTGAAATAATTCATCTCAATATGAATTAACATCAGGACACATTCTGTCTGTGTAAAACCTGTAAGATCCTGTTTCTGTAATATGACCTGATAAAACTCGAGACAACATAAACAGACTAAGACGAATGACACAAACACTGTAGTTTACAAAGTCTCCAGTCAAGATCCAATAAAGGAGTAGAGAAAAAATCTTTGGAAATTGGTTGAAAAATGAAAGTACAACTGTTTAAAATAAAGTAATTAGGATGAATTTAAAACACTGAGAGAACCGACAGAACAGGAACCAGCTTCTATCATTTCAAATCCTTCAGCACATTGTTCTCATGCAGAAGCTTCTTTCTCTTGACTCTTAACTCGTGGAACCAACATTTGAACATCATGAGACGCAGAACATTGTTTGGATTTCTGTGCGACAAAAGATCCTGGTCAGAGTTCAACATTTAATAAAACTGACACGAATTATTTTTATCTTGTTTCATACGTCTGCAGCTTTCTTACTGCAGCAGACGCGCAGCAGCTCACGACCTTCCCCCGGACATCATCACAACAACTACGCAGGCCCCGTCGACCTCGTCAAGGTCACCACCACCACCCAGCCGCAGACTGAGGGTCAGTGCTCACAGAATTTAGTGTCTTACATACTGATGTTTTCTGCCTTTTCTGTCTGTACATACACAGCATGTATTCAGAAATGTTTTTGTGTTTGTCTCAAAAAGTTCCCCCCAACCCCAGGTATGTTTGGACCCAGCTTAGCAGTGCCGACAGCACGTCAGTAGATACGGACTACGAGCAGTTTGACCCGAGCAGTGACCCGTCTGTCCCTTTGTCAACCTTTAAGAGTGAGACTCCTTCTTTCATTTGAATTCATCGTGTGTGTTTCTCAGTCTTTGCCTTCCAACATGTTCCTGCTGTGTGTTTGCATTTTGCGGTTGAAGCTGCTGCAGCGTGTGTGTGTGTGTGTGTGTGTGTGTGTGCAGTCTGTACAGATGCTGTTTGCACTGACAGTTTTTGCAGGACGGTTTGTGATTAAAATATTGCATCATGCATCGTTTGATTGCAGATTCTCAGAAGAGAAGACATGAGAAAAACCCTTTGATGATGAGGACTTCAGGTCTCGACAGCCTCTTTGAGGAAGGTGAGTCGCTGTCACTTTGCAAAGATGTCACAGAGACGAAGATGCGACACTTCAACACACAAAATATTCCCAGCAATCATCAGAGGAGAGATGAAGCACAAACACTGTCAGATTTTTAATCTCAGCTGTGACCAGTGGTTAGAAACATTCACCACTGCAGGAGTGGAGGAGCAGGAATCTACAGAATATACACAACTTCACCAAATAGGATCCCATACATAAATATAACGTTCATATCCTGAATTTCCATATAGGAAATATATATGTACGTATAAAATAAAAACAAAATTATATATGAAACCTATTATAAATTGGACAAATGCATATATTGACATATATGTCCAGCCATATGTGTGTTTTATGTATGTGTATGTCTTATACTTAGATGGAGTCTCTTCTTGCACTGTAATAATTATCTGCTGTAATGATGTCTCATGTTGTTTCCTGTTTCTCTCCTACTGTTAGCATGTAGCATCTTTTTGTGCTATATGTTAGTGTTATCTGATGAAACATTTTTTCCATATGTGAAAATTTTAGTCAGACATTTATCTTTTGGACATTTTTTTTTCTTTAACCCCTTACATACTGTTCAGGTCAGGAGGTTATAAAGGAACCTGAGCTGAGGTCATGGCAGCAGACAGACCAGTGATGAAAACCTGAAGAATACTCTGTCTATGTCAGAGAGGCTGTTTATACTTTCTACATAGATCTGTAGTTCAAGATTCGGTATATGAGGGAATTCTTGGCCTGGATCATACTGTGAAGGCATGAAATATGAACAGTATGTCAGGGATAATATCATATTTTATTTAATTATTTAATGATTTATTATTTTATTCATTATTTTATCTCATTTTACATGAATGTTTTTACTATTTTTCATTTTAGATCAATGCTTTTAACATGTTTTTATGCAAATGTTAAGTCTTTTCATGTGAAGCACTTGGTGCAGGTCATTTCTTATAAGAAAGGTGCTGTACTATATTTTTATTATCATTATTATTATTATTATTATTATGTTTTCAGGCACTGAACCCGCACACGAGGAGACTGGAGCCTTTACAAGCTACAGCGTCGACTGCCTAGACGCTCAATATGCCAGAGTGTCAAAGATCTCCGTGGACTCGTTCGACACCTCCAGCACCTCCTCTGGGGAATGCTACGAAAACGTCAACAACGGCTACATCATGGTCACTCCCGGTCAGCTGAGCTCACTCACTCACTCACTCACTCACTCGTGTCTGTGTGATAAATATGAAGCTACATTAGAAAGACTAAATGATTCACCTGTGTGCCCCTTGATCACAGATCCAGAAGAAGGACAGTCGCCTGATGTCATTGGTGCTTTTGATCCGTCGAGACAAAACTGTGGACAAACAACAAACCTGAGTTCAAGTAAATGTCACTGAACAGATGTTATGGCAGATGTTTACACTTACACACGTTTCCTGATCTTCATCATTGTCTGATCACCAGGTGACGAAGAAGACGGCCCCATCTACTCCCCGGTGAGCCCTGACGGATATAATGACCTTGGAACCCAATGACAGACAGTGGAGGTCACTCAAGGTCACTCAAGGTTACTCAAGGTTACTCAAGGTCACTCAAGGTCACTCAAGGTTACTCAAGGTCACTCAAGGTCACTCGGCGTCAGACTGACACTGTGACGTCTCCAGCTGTAAAACCGCACTGAAAGAAAAGACACTGTACATTCATCGTGTACTGTAAAGACTCAGAAGGCCGTCGGATGTTTCTATTAAAATCTTTGTGATAACACAAAATATAAATCTGGTTTAAATGTTGTTAGAATCTGTCGACTCTCCACTTTCATATTCTTGTGAGATCATTCGTGACTCATAGCCTCTAAAATTTGGTTAAAGTAGAGCGACAGACAACAACTACAACTCAAATTTCATTTTAGATATTTTCTTATCCATTTATCTACTAATTTACTCACATGTTGCACTATTTTTACAAACCTATAGACTTTGGTGAACACATGTCAAGCACCAAAACAATTCATCCACATCAGTAAAGGTTTGTAAAGAATTTCAAAAAGCATCAGTTTTTCAGCATTTGGGGCAAATAATCTTTTTGCTCTGCGAGAGAAAGAGGCGGAGTTATAGAAAGATCTGAGACTTCTGAGAATTGTGATATAAAACACTTCTGTGTTTTGTTTTATGCAAGTTACCTTTTAAAAGTGAATTTAAGAAATAATGTATAAATCAAGAGAAATGCCCTTTGACCTCAGAGGGTTTGATTAAAGTGGATTTTTCATGTTAAAAATCACCTGTACCTTCAGAAGACTGAAGACTGTGTTTCAACATGTTGAAACATAAAGTGATTTAAATGTTGTTAAAATGATGGTTACAGTTAACTGACTCGTCTCAGAAATGTTCTCTTTTTACTTCATTTAGTGTCGACATGTAGAAGTATTTTAATGTGAAAATCACCAAATGAAAACTCACTGAGAACAGCAATGATCTACCTTCAGTGTACAGTTTCAGATATTACTGCAGGTAATCTGTTACTGGGGAGTTTGTTGCCTTTTTTCACTGGTGGCAAGAGACTTTTATTTTGAAGACTTCTCATCAGGTGCCATGATCAAAGCGTTGCGTTCATGACGGAGGAGACGGGTCACGTGTCGTGGAAAGGATCACGTGAGGTTTTGGTCTTTCTCGTGCTTCGACTTCACACCAGCGTCTTGGAGCTGGACTTTTTTAAAACAGTCGTGTTGTTGTGCAAATGTAATTTTACTTTAGCATAAAGAAGAAGAAAAAAAAAAGCATGGATTTCTTATCTAAGTTTCTGCAGGTTCATTAATAAAGTATACTGAGATAAAATGAATTAAAATCACTTAGTTAAGGTGTTCAAATAATGTGCTCATGTTTGTCATGAACAATCAAACTATGGAGTTTAAACAGAATCTACAACATGAACATTTTCTTTTCTTCAGCCACAAGAGCATCAACATTAACACTAACAGAAACATTAGAAATATTCTGTCTCCCTACCTTTAAATCAGTCTGTCTGTCCAACAGTGTAAAAAAAAGTGTTAAAGAGTTACAGAGGGAGGACAGACAATATAAGTCAATATAAATAAGGACAATTAGAGCGAGAAGATGTACGGGGCGAGAACAGTGACAGTAAGTCACTGAAGGAGAGTGAACAAAGAGACATGAAGAAAACATCTGAAGATTGACATTGAAAAACATCATAATACAAAAACTATCTGAATGAAATAAGATTGTAGTTTTTTTAAGCCGGTGTTTTATTTTTCTCTTCAGGTTTTGTTTTCAATGCCAAATTTTATATTCAGTGTCAAAATGTTCTTGTCATTGTTAGAGAGAAATAGAAACAGACACGTAAACACAGTAAAAGCAATAAAAGGGCGACATGCAGACAATAAAAAGAGAAAAAGAGAAAAAGATGACATCACATAAAAGCAAGTCTATAAAAATGAGTTTTAAGAAGAAGAAAGTTTGTCCAAATTTGTTGCAAAGGTATAAAGATTAAAAATACTAAATTATATCATATTACATATTACATACATATATTATATCCAAATAATGAGCTCATGTTTGCATTTGTAAAGTTGTGGTGAAATGATTGAGTTCTACCACCAGGTGGCGCCACATGCTTGTGAGTAAAGTTAAAGGTTGAAGTACCTGAGTGGAGGGAAACATCACACTGTAACTGTGAGTCACAGATACCTGTCTGTGCTGAGGGAGGGCGGAGTCAAACCAGCGCACTGTGAAACTGTGGCTCGTGATCAGGGGCCAACATAAACCCTGAGTGCGGGCTGAGACCAGACCCGGCACCGCTCTCCTTGGTCCATTACATCTGCAGCAGCTGCAGAGCATCAACTTCCTCCTGATCCTCACTGATCCTCCAATCACACTGAAGTCTTCTTCTGTGGAGGTAAATATGACTAACTGCTTCAAAGCACCTATAAAACTTTGAGGGGGGGGGCAGCGGTGGTGAACACAGATAAACATGGATTAGCTTCAGCTCAGTTCACATGAGAGGTGGGAGAGATGATGCAGCAGACTGATAACAAGCAGAATGGGGCGGTTTTCTTTTTGAAGGGAAAGTATTTGGCAGGGAAGAGGATAGAGGAGTGTGTGTGTTGGGGTGAGGGGAGGTGGGAGGAGGGGGGAGCAGAGGGGAGGAGGGGGTGAGGTGGACAGAGGAGTCGGCGAAGATAAAACGTGTCTGAGAGAATCATATATTACAGTAAAATTTAGTCCAGAGCTCGACATCGAGATAAACAGACGAATTAACGAGCAGATCTCCTTATGAAACTCAATCTCTTTCACATGCGAGAGAATCACACACACACACACACACACACACACACAACAGAGATTCCATGTAAAAGTATGCAGCATGATATATCACAGATCCTCCTCCTCTCTGAAGGACTGATGAGACGTAGAACACAGAGTTTCCAGGAGCTCGAGCATCGAGGGATTAGAACATCGACCCTCTGTTTTCTCTTTGTTCATTAAATCAGTTACACACAAGGATTACAGCTCCGTAAGTCCTTAAGTTGCTTAAAGTGTCCCGACAACAGATCCTGCCCCGCTTTAAACTTTTGAACTCTGTGTGGTGCAGGAGACCAGGAGTCCAGGAGACCAGGAGACCAGGAGACCAGGAGACCAGGAGACCAGGAGACCAGGAGACCAGGAGACCAGGAGACCAGGAGACCAGGAGTCCAGGAGACCAGGAGACCTGCCTGCACAGACAACCTTAAGGTGTCATTTCTCCTTAGCTGAGGGGTTAGTTAAGGGTGTTGCACTTAACTGAAGGTGTTTTGTCTCTGTCTCTTTCTCTCTGTCTCTCTCTCTCCCTCTCTCTCCCTCTCTGATTGGTGTCTCAGGTGGCGTTGACCTTGACGCTCTCGCTCTGACTCGGCCTTTGTGTCGGACGTGCTTGTACATGTTGCAGGATGGACTGCAGCCAATCAGACGCAGTGAGGTCATCAGTTTGGGTAGAGCCCCAGATGGTCACAGACCCGGGTGAAAAATCCACCTCAGCTCATTAATCACGGCCTTTNCGGCCTTTCTTTTTTGGTGGGGCCGTTAACCCCCCCCCCCCCCGATTAGTGGCGCTCGCAGTGAATCAGCCTGTAGTGTGGCTGTAAACCATGTTACAGCCTGCTGGGCCGAGGCCGGGCCGAGGCCGGGCCGAGGGCTGAGGCCCGGCTGCGGCGGCGAGGCTCGGTAATAGTGTTGATGACTTGTCACTCATTAGGTTGCTTTCACTGCCGCCGCTAAGCCCTCATCAGGAGGCTTTAGGCCGAGCAGCCGGGGAGGGGCCCCGATCCAATTCACCTTTAAAGTTCAGTGGACCTGTCTGGGTTTCCACGGGTCAGTGCATCACTCTCCACGCCGTGCGCTCCCAGAGAGGCCCTCATTACCTCATTTCCTGTTACTACTGTACCAGACGAGCGTTCCAGTCTCAAGGTTTGACTCTGTAAAGTTTGTAAAGTTTGTAAAGTTTGTCACGGATGACGTGCTTCAAACTCTTGTTGAATTCATGTCTTTGAAGAAGAACGAATGTGAGGATGAGTCATAATGAACGGTTTGTACGGTGGCTCCGAGAGGCCAAACATGATGACAGAGAACCGAACATCAACCAAACAGAAAACACAACTCTTTCAAAAATGTATTTCTATGTTTATTTTGGTTGAATTTATAATTGTCTAATAAACAGATTGAGAATCAACATCGTGAAACGAGGAAACAAGACGACGTCTCACAAAGTGGAAAATGTGACGTCAGAACTTTGTTAGTACATTTACTCAAGTATTAGTATTGGTATTAGTATTACTATTAATACTAGTATTAGTATTAGTATTAGTATTATTTCCATTTTCTTCAAGTTGATTCTGCCTCTTTGCAACATTTCAGAGGGAAACATTATAAAAAGAAATATAAATGTAAAAATAACAGAAAATATGAAGCTTCATCAGTTTAAAGGCTCTGCAGTTACTGAGGCGACCGCACTACTTTTCCTTCAACAAAATGAACAGGTGAGAGAGAGAGACAGAGAGAGAGACAGAGAGAGACAGAGAGAGAGATAGACAGACAGAGAGAGACAGAGAGAGAGACAGACAGAGACAGACAGAGAGATAGACAGACAGAGAGAGAGACAGACAGAGACAGACAGAGAGAGACAGACAGAGACAGACAGAGAGATAGACAGACAGAGAGAGAGACAGACAGACAGAGAGAGACAGAGAGAGACAGACAGAGACAGACAGAGAGATAGACAGACAGAGAGAGAGACAGACAGACAGAGAGAGACAGACAGAGACAGAGAGAGAGACAGACAGACAGAGAGACAGAGAGAGAGACAGAGAGAGAGAGACAGACAGAGAGAGAGACAGAGACAGACAGAGAGAGAGACAGAGAGACAGAGAGAGAGACAGTGACAGAGAGAGACAGAGAGAGACAGAGAGAGACAGAGAGAGAGACAGACAGAGAGAAGAGAGAGACAGAGTCGATGTAGTCGTATAAAATCAGAGAAAACCGTCTTCAGTCTTCAGTCTTCAAACGAACAACAGAAACAGCTGTTTACATCTGAACATATGGACGGACGTATTTAATCCAGAACATCTGGAGTTGTTTGTTGAGCTTCAGTTCTGTGTAGTGAACGGCTCCTTTGTGAAGCTTCAGGTGCATTTTGCTGATATAATATTTGCTTTTGCTTGTGTAGAATTGACTTTGACTTTGTGGTGTCGCCACTTTTACCTTCTTCCACCGACGGACAGAACCGGTCAAACCACAGTCCTTCATCACCTTGATTTTTACAGAAGATTTACTTGTTTATTTCTGACACTTTGTCATATTTTCAGCGGTGTTCATGTGTGTAGCTCTGCAGCTCTGGCCTCCTGCAGGTTTCTCATCAGACACATTTATTAGTCTGTATAAAGAAATGAATCCCAACTTGAAAGCCGGCCTGGCAGCGAGCTCATTAACCTTTTTTTTCTTCTTAGCACCTCGCTGCAGTTAACAGTCTGTGGCCTCTTCCCCACCAAGACACATTCATGTAGCTGCCAATCAGGTCAACGCCGCAATTAAGCTGCTTTAAACTTGTTCAGTGGTGCTTGGAGGCCGTAAAAATACTTCCGTTTGAGTGTCAATGGGAGCCTGTGGTGGTTAACGCTGCATTCATGGGAGAATACATTGTGTCTAGTTAATGTAAGGAGTCTGGTCAGCGGGTCAAAAGGGCGCGAGGACTGAAGGATACGAGGAGCTGCGGCGGGTTTCCAGCTCTTTGAGTTAAACACCAGCAGTGTGATGATCCAGACTGACTCTGCTGGTTTTTCTTCTTCTCTTGTCCCAGTCAGTTTTCTCAAGCGACCAAGAATTTATGGACATTTCCTTGTTTGTCTCCGACCAGATGGACTGAGGTTTATGGGTGTGTGGTGCATGTTGGACGGCGGCGTCTCTCTCTGAGTACCAGTCAGTCAGGACAGGCGTCATCAATCTTGGTCCTGGGTGAAAGGCAGATTGGCTGCCATAAACCGGGCCTGATTGCAGTGTGCTGTTCCCAGCGGAAGAGTTTTCAGTCCAAGGGAGGCATGGAAACAAAACCCTGCAGATACAAACACTGTGTGTGGGACAGTGTGAACTGTGCCACAGTGTGGGAGACTGTGCGTGTTAGCACCAGTAATGATCCTGAAACCATTTATGATTCATTACATAATAAAAGTTTAAGACAGAGGGATAAAATACAGATT